TTGCACAGAGCAGTCCTAAACCTCCTCTTCTTGGTTCCCCTGACGGTGCTTCATGCCCCTCCTTTCTGCCAAGAGCCCACACAGCAAGCTGCTTGCTATGGGGACACCTGAGCAGGCTCCCTCCTAAACCAGTCTGTGGCTTGGACCCACCCCCGCTCTCTGTTTATTGGCTCACTGGCTGTGATTGACAGTCAATAGCTCCTGCTGCTGTCTCAACCTATGAGAAGGGAGAGACCCGGGAAAGCTGAAGCTCTTGTGCACATTGCTGGTTTTTTACCTTCATATATAGAATGCATGAAGGTAAAAAACCTTGAGCCTTTACTACCATTTTAATGAAAGTTAGGTATCGGCAGGAATTGGCTAGCTCTTACAGGTTTTATGATTTTTTCAAAGTTCTTGACATTTTGGAGCTGTTAGAGTGTTTTTTTGTTTTGCTTCAAAAGGAAATCCTTAAGCAGGTAGCCCCTCCCATCATCCTGAGTGTTCTCATTGGACAGGGGAACAGCAGTTGAGCAGGGCTTACTCCAGAAGTCAGGGTAGTCAAGTTGCTAGTAACAGAGTAAAAGTAAATCAGCATGATTTACAGAGGAGGGGGTTCTTGCTGATAAAGGTAAAAGCAGGCATCTTGTAGGCTAAGTTCATATAACTCTGTGTCAGGAAATTGCATAAAATCACTTGCATTCCTGACACGCAGTGAAATGCGGTGTTCTATAGCAGACGCTGTAATGCCTATGAAATGCTTAAAGCACATAAGAACTTGTTTGTGGGATTAAACGTGTTTATGACATCTAGAAATGTTACATCAGACTGCTTAAATTAGATAAGAACTTGTTTGTGCAATTAAAGATGTCTACTTGCTTGTGAAGTTAAAAATCTTTAAGTTTAGGGTAGATAAGAAGCTGATCTGAAGCAAAAGTGTGATATTCTTAGATAACATTGTTTGTTAGGTGTAGTGACTGGGCGTGACTCTGTTATACTCATGGAACCTTTATGCTCGCTCTTCCTAGAGTGAGTGTGGCGCCCCACCCACTTCAGGAAAGCTGCCAGAAAAAGGGTTTAAAAACAAGGAGCTTAAGCGGGATCAATTGGGAGCAGTTTTCTTATGCAGATGAGGACGCTCTGATGCTGGGACTCTTGCCAAGGTATATGGGCTCATCAATTGGTTGTGTTTACGGCTTCCCCGTGACCTCCTGTGCATTATGGTTTCAATGGGGTCTGTTCCTTCCTGTCTTCCCATAGTTTTGGTAATGTATTAATTCTATGCGGTGACGTTGTCAAGGATGTGTCTATTTCATGCTGTAATGCTCACATTATTATTGGTGTGTGTTATTATGCAGATTGTGATGACTATAAGATATATTCTCCTGCGTGTCGTGTGATAATAAAAGGTTTTGACAGTGCAAGAATATTGCAGTTGGATTCTGTTAATTCTTGGAGTGCCGAGTGAATGCTATAATGTGCCAGGGCAGGTGTTCCGGTAGTGGGTCTTTCACAATGCTTAGAATAATTAATGGTGTAAATGCTCGTTAAATGTACCTTTGTGTGTGACTATTGTGTGTACATGACATGCTTTTAGTTATTGCACCCAGCATTGCATTACAGACGCACAAGGGTGCCACTAATTCTTATTGGCAAACTCACACATTGGCAAACATGTGCATTTGTAGCTCACACCAAACTGCATGGTACTGCAGCACCATGAATTTTGGTGCAGCAGGATTTTTTTTTTAAAAAGGATCGAAGACTTCCCCTTGACACGTACGTCCAATAATGTGAACCAGGCCTTAAGAAGGACTTTAAAATTTAATTTTTAAAAATGCAATACAATCTAGCTTTACATTCACATGTAACAAAAATATTCTTTAAAATTCATTTTCAAAATTGTTTTGAAAAAACTGGAAAACCTAGAATAAGTGGAAAAAAAAAAAAAAGACCAAGTATGAAAGCTGCATGCTATACTCATGACCAGCTGTAGACAAACTCATTATTAAATGTGTTGGTAGTACTCAATACAATTGCTCCATAGCTAAACCAAGTACATTTTATTTTTTCAGTGAAGATAATAAAACAATAAGGTCATGGTGTTCTGCAAAAGAGTTGTATAACTACAACTGTAACAGTTGTCTTCTATCAATTTTCTTAAAAATTAAATTGAATTAAAATAACTAGTCATTTGAGTATTAATTAGAAAAAAAACAATTAATATATACAGTTTTTCTGTACATGTGGACATACTGTATGCCTATGCCATATATTGGTTAGCTAAATACACACACACATATATATATATATATATATATATATATATATATATATATATATATATATATACAGTTGTGTTCAAAATAATAGCAGTCAAACATCACTAACCTGATCAGTCACTGTTTTTGGTAGAAATTATATTTCTACATGGCAAATAATTTACTAGCAGGTGTAGTAGAATAATAGAAATCTAACAGACCCAACAGTCATGACATGCATGCTGCTGATTCTGTGTAATTGAATCTCTAATTGAAAGGGGCATGTTAAATAAAATAGCAGTGTGGAGTTCTATTAGTGAGGTCATTCATTCTTTGAAAAACAGGTGGCAATTATTGCCCTTATTTAAGGAAGGAAGGCAGCAAATGTGGTACATGCTGGTTACAGTGCATTTCTCTCTAAAATTCTGAGGAAAATGGGTAGTTCCAGACATTGTTCAGAAGAACAGCGTACCTTGATTAGAAAGTTGATTGGAGAGGGGAGAAAACATATAAAGAAGTGCAGAAAATGATAGGCTGCTCAGCTAAAATGATCGCAAATGCTTTAAAACGGCAACCAAAACCTGAAAAAACGTGGAAGAAAGCGAAAAACTACCATTCAAATAGATAGAAGAATAGCCAAAATGGCAAGGACTCAGCCAACAATCAGCTCCAGGAAGATCAAAGAAGGTCTAAAGTTACCTGTGAGTACTGTTACAATTAGAAGATGCCTATGTGAAGCCAAGCTATCTGCAAGAAGCCCCCTGCAAAGTCCCACTGTTAAAAAAAAGACGTGCTGAAGAGGTTACAATTTGCCAAAGAGCACATTGACTGGCCTAAAGAGAAATTTTGTGGACTGATGAAAGTAAAATTGTTCTTTTTGGGTCTAGTGGCCGGAAACAGTTTTTCAGACGACCCCCAAACACTGAATTCAAGCCACAGTACACTGTGAAGACAGTGAAGCATGGTTGCGCAAGCATCATGATATGGGGATGTTTCTCATACTATGGTGTTGGGCCTATTTATCGCATACCAGGGATCATGGATCAGTTTGAATACATCATAATACTTGAAGAGGTCATGCTGCCTTATGCTGAAGAGGAAATGCCCTTGAAATGGGTGTTCCAACAAGACAACGACCCCAAACACACCAGTAAACGTGCAACATCTTGGTTCCAGACCAACAAGATTGATGTTATGGAGTGGCCAGCCCAATCCCCGGATCTTAATCCAATAGAAAACTTGTGGGGTGACATCAAAAATGCAGTTTCTGAGGCAAAACCAAGAAATAGAGAAGAACTGTGGAATATAGTCCAATCATCCTGGGCTGGAATACCTGTTCACAGGTGCCAGAAGTTGGGTGACTCCATGCAACACAGATGTACAGCAGTTATCAAAAACAGTGCTTATACAACTAAATATTAATTAAGTGATTCAAAGGAAAGCAAAATCTTCAAACATTTTTCAGTTTATGTAGTGAATGTTTGAGTTTGTAAAGAAGAATACAAACACTGCTATTTTTTTGAACAGTCTAGTATTCACTTTTCTATAAATTTTTTAGAGGAACAACACAAATTTGATATAATTTTCTTCATGTTTTGATTTGGAATAGAATGTGTAGTGTTCCCAATGCATTTGTGTGTATGGAAATAAAAGCTATTAGAAGGATTTTGAGCTTTATTCACTTTTTTCAACACACTGCTATTATTTTGAACACACTGTATATATATATATATATATATATATATATATATATATAAAAGTATATTTATAAAGCAGTGAATCTGACATTCAACAAACATTCTTCGCAGGTTAATCTTCCTGACGCATGTGTGACTGATTGATTGAGTCACCCCCAGTGAATATTTGGTAAAAGTCACATTTACTGTTTTTAAATATGTCCGAAAGCGTATTTAGGATTAGATTAGTTTATTTTGTATATCTGCAATTTAAACAGATCATTGCAATAATCAGGCAATGCATGGTGTTCAAATTATTGCAAAACTTAACTGGAAAAAAGCCACAAATGAAACTGTACAGAAATGAGGGCACAATAAACAAAATTTGGTAAGAGTAGCATAAGATAAATTTGTAAGACACAAAATTTTAACTTAAATGTATATTGTGCCAAGAGAAATTGGCAATCAAATTACTGTCCAATAGCAGATAATTGATCATCATGAATAACCCCCACTTATTAAGAATAACCACACCTATTATGTGTTGCTATCTAATATTGTGTTGACTGCATTTTGTTTCCCTCAAAGTTGTGTGAAGGTATCCTTGGGATGTTCCTGGAAATCTCAATAAAAGAATATGTATGGATTCTAACTTTTTGTTTAAATACCACTGTTTATCGACCATTTTAAATTCCTATTAAATATTCTCCATGATTATTATAGTGTGTGATAGTAAAACATTAATTGTGATCATCATGCTAAAATAGCAGAAAATAAATTAAACAATTGTACACCAAATAATTATCCAAATATATCAGTTCAGTTCTATGTAAAGTCTCCATAGCCAAAATAACCTCAGCCAAGATGCTGATTAACTTAAAGAGCACTGCTTGTCCATGTTATACATATCCTAATATAGTATAGGATATATATTTATTTTGCAGACAGAAGTAGTCTTCTCCATTTCTATGTGACTGGTTGGTGTTGTCTTTATGTGTTTCTTACAAACAAAGGATTGATAACAATCCACTGTCAGATAACAACAGAGTCAATTAACTCAACTCAGAAATGTTAGTAAATCACTTTATCCTTTTGGCGGTGGCTCGGTTTCTTGCTTTGCTGCTTCTGGATCTGCAGCCTCCAAAACTTCAGGCTCAGGCTTTAACATGTTCTCAATTTTGGAAACTCTCTGTTTAAGTTTCTGTTGCGCTGAGTCATACTCTGCCAACAGTCTAGCAAATTTGGTTTGCAAGTTATCTACCAAACCTTCCATGTGAGCTACCTTCTCCTCAATGTCTTTGGGGTCAATGCCAGAGTTAGCAACATCTAAATCAAGAAGGCCATCCTTCATTAAAATTTGCCTTCCTTTTTCCTCTAGCATGGCTTTTGCATCAGGATATTCTGTCAAAGCTTCCATAAGGTCATCTTTGGACAGGCAGAAGAGATCAGAATATCCAATACTTTTGATATTTGCTGTTCTTCTGTTACCAGCTTTACTGCCTTTAATATTAAGAATACTAATTTCTCCAAAGTAGCTGCCATCACTTAAAACCACAAATTGTGTAATACCATCATCTGCTACAACAGCAAGTTTACCCTCTTTGATGATGTACATTTCCCTCCCAATATCACCTTTCCTACAAATGTAATCTCCAGGACTATATACTTGAGGTTGCAGCTTCAAGACCAATTCAATCAAAAGTCCAGCTTCACAATCTGCAAAGATACGGACTTTTTTCAATGTATCTAGATGGACATTGATAGCAATCTCTGCTCTTAGTTTGTCTGGTAGGTATTTCAACACTTCTCTTTCATCAACAGCTTTTTTGTTTGTCCACAAATAGTCAAACCACTTAATTACTCTTTTTTCCAAATCTTTACTGACTTTACGGAAATGCATGTACTGTTTGATGGCATCAATTCTGCCTTGGAATTCTGCCCTAGCAGCATTCATGTTTGAAATCATGGAACCAACGTTACCGACAATAGTAGCGAAAATCAATACTCCCACTAAGAAGTCAGCAACCACAAACCAGAATTCAGAATCTTGCACAGGTGGTGGTGTTTCACCGATGGTTGTTAGGGTTAGTGTTGACCAGTAGAGACTGTAAACGTATTTTCTAGCCAAACGGCCATATTCTGGGTGTGAGGTGTTAGGGTAGACCCACGTATCTTCTCCAAACCCTATAGCTTTTGAAATGGAGTAGTATACACAAGCATTCCAGTGGATAATGATTACGATGTACATGATGAGGTTAGATATTCTAAAGATGTTTGGATAGTTGGTCCGCGTCTCAGTTCGTTGGAAAAACTCAAACATTCGAGCAACTCGGAATAATTTATTTAACCTGAGCTCTGGGTAGTTTAGTCCAAATTTGAAATACAGTATGTCTGTTGGTATGATTGACAAAACATCAAGCTTAAATTGTAACGTCTTTTTGTATTTGTCTCTTAGTTTGCCTTCATCTCTTACCAATAGACCTTGTTCCAAATAACCTTAAAATAAAAAAAAAATTAAAATCAGTGAAAATATATATGTAAATTGTCAGATATTATAATGTTAAAATATATTATTGGTATGCACAGATCATTACATCTTTTTTTAATTATATATTTATTTGGACTGCTTACCAGCACGGAAACATAAACTCACCACTTCTTTCTTTAACCCGATTCTTAGAATTCCTCCCTACTGGGCTTAAAGAATATGTAAACCCAACATTTCATATTCCTGATATGTGCCTGGTGTACTTTCAGGCAAACGTATCTTGTTCTCTTTGTATTGCTTCCTTTGTGTGTAATCTCTGGTGTTCTTGTCAGTCTCTCTTCTTTCCAATTCAAAACTGACCACACTAGGCAAGAGAGCACACCGTGGTTTGTTCACTAGCTGTGCTGGGAACTCAGCCTGATCTCCTCCAATGATCAGACTTCTGCTGACACCCCCCTCCTGCACAGCCATTTACTGGGAAGATGAGTGTGCTGCAATTCTCCTCCCCCAGCTCGTATACAGCTGAGAAGAGTTATAAGAATAAGAATCACTTATAAAGCAGGGAAAAAGGTGTACATAATGCTATTTATATACAGTCAGGTCCATAAATATTGGCACATCGACACAATTCTAACATTTTTGGCTCTATACACCACCACAATGGATTTGAAATGAAACGAACAAGATGTGCTTTAACTGCAGACTGTCAGCTTTAATTTTAGGGTATTTACATCCAAATCAGGTGAACGGTGTAGGAATTACAACAGTTTGCATATGTGCCTCCCACTTGTTAAGGGACCAAAAGTAATGGGACAATTGGCTTCTCCGCTGTTCCATGGCCAGGCGTGTGTTATTCCCTCATTATCCCAATTACAATGAGCAGATAAAAGGTCCAGAGTTCATTTAAAGTGTGCTATTTGCATTTGGAATCTGTTGCTGTCAACTCTCAAGATGAGTTCCAAAGAGCTGTCACTATCAGTGAAGCAAGCCATCATTAGGCTGAAAAAAAACAAAACAAACCCATCAGAGAGATAGCAAAAACATTAGGCGTGGCAAAAACAACTGTTTGGAACATTCTTAAAAAGATGGAACGCACCGGTGAGCTCAGCAACACCAAAAGACCCGGAAGACCACGGAAAACAACTCTGGTGGATGACCGAAGAATTCTTTCCCTGGTGAAGAAAACACCCTTCACAACAGTTGGCCAGATCAAGAACACTCTCCAGGAGGTAGGTATATGTGTGTCAAAGTCAACAATCAAGAGAAGACTTCACCAGAGTGAATACAGAGGGTTCACCACAAGATGTAAACCATTGGTGAGCCTCAAAAACAGGAAGGCCAGATTAGAGTTTGCCAAACGACATCTAAAAAAGCCTTCACAGTTCTGGAACAACATCCTATGGACAGATGAGACCGAGATCAACTTGTACCAGAGTGATGGGAAGAGAAGAGTATGGAGAAGGAAAGGAACTGCTCCTGATCCTAAGCATACCACCTCATCAGTGAAGGATGGTGGTGGTAGTGTCATAGGGTGGGCATGTATGGCTGCCAATGGAACTGGTTCTCTTGTATTTATTGATGATGTGACTGCTGACAAAAGCAGCAGGATGAATTCTGAAGTGTTTCAGGCAATATTATCTGCTCATATTCAGCCAAATGCTTCAGAACTCATTGGACGCCGCTTCACAGTGCAGATGGACAATGACCCAAAGCATACTGCAAAAACAACCAAAGAGTTTTTTAAGGGAAAAAAGTGGAATGTTATGCAATGGCCAAGTCAATCACCTGACCTGAATCCGATTGAGCATGCATTTCACTTGCTGAAGACAAAACTGAAGGTAAAATGCCCCAAGAACAAGCAGGAACTGAAGACGGTTGCAGTAGAGGCCTGGCAGAGCATCACCAGGGATGAAACCCAGCGTCTGGTGATGTCTATGCATTCCAGACTTCAGGCTGTAATTGACTGCAAAGGATTTGCAACCAAGTATTAAAAAGTGAAAGTTTGATTTATGATTATTATTCTGTCCCATTACTTTTGGTCCCTTAACAAGTGGGAGGCACATATGCAAACTGTTGTAATTCCTACACCGTTCACCTGATTTGGATGTAAATACCCTCAAATTAAAGCTGACAGTCTGCAGTTAAAGCACATCTTGTTTGTTTCATTTCAAATCCATTGTGGTTGTGTATAGAGCCAAAAATGTTAGAATTGTGTCGATGTCCCAATATTTATGGACCTGACTGTATACAGTAAATGTTTTGCTTTTCTTTTCTACTTTAAACTAAATGGGTCATTTTACAAGGCAAGGGTTTAACATCACTTTAAAATGGAAGACAAGGCTAAAAACAATTATCCTTAAATTGGTAGTAAACCTTGTTAAACACATCCTGCTGGCCGTACGCATATACACAGCCTCTCAGCGGGTGGGCTTAAACCATTTGACACCAAATCATGTACATGTAAGTGATTGGGTTCAAGTGGTTATACCATGGATGTGGAGCTGTATGCTATAACCCCGATGTGATGCTGTTTCAAGCAAAATCAATCCTAGCGGTTATTTAGCAAGTTGATTGCTTTTACAGGTAGTGGGAGGAGAGACCCCCCTCCCGCCACCCACCAGCTCGCACCTGTGCGATCAGGGAGCTCGGTATCTGATCTGGAAATGTCTCCGGGGGAACACAGAGCTGGCCAGGGACCCTCTAGTCTCCATGGACTAGGAGGCTGGAAGCGACGTCATTACATATCTTCCGGCTAGGTGGATGTAAACATTGCCTTTTTTTTGTAAAGCATGAGATAAATGGATTTTTTTTATTCATCTCATGCTTTTCAAGGTAGAGAAGAGATCTGGGCTCTTATAGCACTTTATAGGAGACTTACCTAAAATCAGATCCCTCCAGCGGGACGTTGTCAATGCTGACAGGGCTGACAGGGATTCCATCTTCATCTGGTTTTCCTTCCAGGTTTGTGGGCATTAACCGTTTGAATGGCCGAGCTGCAACGATGTCAATCCCGTGCACATGCTGGCGTCAAAACCGTTGCACCACTCTCTCAAAGGAAGGCATGCCTTCCATTGAGAGTGTAGTGCAGGTGCGTCGTTGATGTCACTGGCTGCTACACATTTAAGTATCTCCAAAATAGTACACATTTAATAGATATTCATTGTACCTACAGGTAAGCCTTATTATAGGTTTACCAATAGCACAAGATAAAAAATAGAGTTTACTACTGCTTTAAAAATGTTGCCTTCCCCTCCTCCTACCTACAGTCAGGTCCATAAATATTGGGACATCGACACAATTCTAACATTTTTGGCTCTATACACTACCACAATGGATTTGAAATGAAACGAACAAGATGTGCTTTAACTGCAGACTGTCGGCTTTAATTTCAGGGTATTTACATCCAAATCAGGTGAACGGTGTAGGAATTACAACAGTTTGCATATGTGCCTCCCACTTGTTAGGGGGCCAAAAGTAATGGGACAATTGGCTTCTCAGCTGTTCCATGGCCAGGTGTGTGTTATTCCCTCATTATCCCAATTACAATGAGCAGATAAAAGGTCCAGAGTTCATTTCAAGTGTGCTATTTGCATTTGGAATCTGTTCCTGTCAACTCTCAAGATGAGATCCAAAGAGCTGTCACTATCAGTGAAGCAAGCCATCATTAGGCTGAAAAAACAAAACAAACCCATCAGAGAGATAGCAAAAACATTAAGCGTGGCCAAAACAACTGTTTGGAACATTCTTAAAAAGAAGGAACGCACCGGTGATTTCAGAAACACCAAAAGAATCGGAGACCACGGAAAACAACTGTGGTGGATGACCGAAGAATTCTTTCCCTGGTGAAGAAAACACCCTTCACAACAGTTGGCCAGATCAAGAACACTCTCCAGGAGGTAGGTGTATGTGTGCCAAAGTCAACAATCAAGAGAAGACTTCACCAGAGTGAATACAGAGGGTTCACCACAAGATATAAACCATTGGTGAGCCTCAAAAACAGAAAGGCCAGATTAGAGTTTGCCAAACGACATCTAAAAAGCCTTCACAGTTCTGGAACAACATCCTATGGACAGATGAGACCAAGATCAACTTGTACCAGAGTGATGGGAAGAGAAGAGTATGGAGAAGGAAAGGAACTGCTCATGATCCTAAGCATACCACCTCATCAGTGAAGCATGGTGGTGGTAATGTCATGGCGTGGGTATGTATGGCTGCCAATGGAGCTGGTTCTCTTGTATTTATTGATGATGTGACTGCTGACAAAAGCAGCAGGATGAATTCTGATGTGTTTCAGGCAATATTATCTGCTCATATTCAGCCAAATGCTTCAGAACTCATTGGACGCCGCTTCACAGTGCAGATGGACAATGACCCAAAGCATACTGCAAAAGCAACCAAAGAGTTTTTTAAGGGAAAGAAGTGGAATGTTATGCAATGACCAAGTCAATCACCTGACCTGAATCCGATTGAGCATGCATTTCACTTGCTGAAGACAAAACTGAAGGGAAAATGCCCCAAGAACAAGCAGGAACTGAAGACAGTTGCAGTAGAGGCCTGGCAGAGCATCACCAGGGATGAAACCCAGCGTCTGGTGATGTCTATGCGTTCCAGACTTCAGGCTGTAATTGACTGCAATGGATTTGCAACCAAGTATTAAAAAGTGAAAGTTTGATTTATGATTATTATTCTGTCCCATTACTTTTGGTTCCTTAACAAGTGGGAGGCACATATGCAAACTGTTGTAATTCCTACACTGTTCACCTGATTTGGAGGTAAATACCCTGAAAATAAAGCTGACAGTCTGCAGTTAAAGCACATCTTGTTTGTTTTATTTCAAATCCATTGTGGTGGTGTATAGAGCCAAAAATGTTAGAATTGTGTCGATGTCCCAATATTTATGGACCTGACTGTATGTTGTATAGCCTATACTGTACAGAAAAATCTGTGTAAATATATTTTTTTTCCTGTCCAGTCCGGTCATGTGATCCCGAAGCTCCGGCTCATTTGT